CCGAAGACGGATTGAGATGGCCAAGGATGAATTCCACAAGCTGAGCAGAGATGAAACGGGAGGATTTCTAGGGTGAAAAAAGAAAACAGTACTGAACTGCTGCGTGGCATCTGTCCTGCTATACGGCAGCGAATGTTGGACGATATCTTCAAGGATGAAGAAGAGATTCGAGGCGGTGATGATGTGGTTCTACAGAAGGATGCTGAGGATATCATGGAACAAGCATGTAAGCAACGATGAGGTCTTAGAGAGGATGTAGACATACGTGGCCGGCTTGGGCAAGTGGATTCTGGAGCGTGGTCTGGAGGAGTTGGCAAAAACACAAAACCTGCTGAGAGCCACAAGGGATAGGAGGAAGTGGAGGTCCATGATTGACATATAAAAAGAAAAGAAATAGCAAACGACAGAATGTATGTCAGAGAAATCTTAAGGGGCATCAGAATAGCGAAAGAGGCTTTCCAAAAACTAAAGAATGAATCAGATATGTGAATAATTCGTTATAAACAGAGAAAGAATAACGGAATATTAAATTCTACCTATCTTTCCGTATGGCAGTGAATGTTGGACAATTTTTCCTTATAGAGAAAAAAGAGACATGAAGTTACAACGATGTGGTTCTACTGACGGATTCTGAGACCACCATAGAAAATACTTAAGCAAAGAGGGAATTCTAAGAAAGGAGACGTTAGAAAGACACTAATACTAACAAATAAGATATAAACAATTAAAATGATAATGATAGTAAAATAATGATAACGGAAGGCTTAGAATATTCAATAATCACGTGACAAATTAAGACAAGGAAACAGTGAGCAACATGTTTCTTGATTTTTTATGAATGGACGACCGAGCAGGGACAATGGCGGAATCATAAAAATGAAAAGGTTTTTTAAAGCTTCAAGGGGCAATATTTATTGTTTTAAAAAGCGATGATTAGAATTGTAATAAGACATAAACATCTGCAGGTGAATTTTTACATTATTTTTGTTAATGAGAATTGACAACCAATATAATAAATACTATTTATTTATTAGATTGTTTATTTGCACTATTTATTGGACTAGAATTGTTTAGCAATACGCTGAGGCATGTTAAAATCCTCAACGCATTTCGTATTGTTAAAGTTAACGCTAACATTTTTGTGGAGATTTATAAACTCTATTTTTCGTTCAATTTCACAAACCAGTCGATGAAATTTGAATAAACGAATTTTTTTTTTAAAAATACTTTAATAAAAACCCTACTTTGTGTTTTTTTTTTGCATCCTTGTAAAATCAACTGTATTTTGTACCCCCTTACCTGTTTGCACTTCTACCCAATGCCAGTCAATGTATGACTATTTTAGAGGGTGCGGGGACGGACGGACGGACGGACGGACTATCGGAAATCACAGAATTTTATATACAAATGGAAAAATTAAATTATTTTTTAAAATAGTGGGAGAATTTTGTATGATAAATAATATAAGTTTTAATTTTTCCCCCACGAAAAAAAAGGAAAATTTATTTTACTAAGCTACGCATTCTAGTAAAACAACTGTACATTTTACCTCACTTACCTGTTTGCAATTCACCCCAAAATTTGGCTTCAATCAATCAACATACGGTTATTTTACAGGGCGTGAGGACGGACTAACGGAAGTCACAGAATTTTATATATAGATTGTATATTTATACTATTTATTTATTATATTGTTTATTTGAATGACGGGTAAAACATCGACTAATTACCAACTGAATTGAAATTAAAAAAAATGGTAAAGAAGAAGGATTTCCTTATAGTTGGTTCATATATTTTTATAATTCGCTGTTTATAAATTTATGAATAAAAATTGTTTTCATATTTAATTCTTCATAAATTGGAAAATGATAAATATTGCATTACATTAGTTTTAATTGTATTGGTTTTTAGTTTGTTGTAAATATAAAACTATTCTTGTTAATGAAAATTGTAATAATTAAATAGTGTTTAATATTTTTGTGAATGTCGTTAAAAAAGCGGTGTCATGGGAAAAACCGTCCATTTGACACTAATTCTTATTGCTGGTACATTTGTCAATGTTTGCCAAATTATTATCATAAAGCTCCAGGAATGTTAAGCCTCATGTTGACAATATAAATACTTTCAAAAGAGATTAATCGTGACAGATTGTTATAACAAAAGAGCAACTAAATGTTCGAATTGAAGCTGTCATAAATTTAAAACAAAAGATTAAGCTTCAGTTTCTTGCCTTGCTGATGAAATATTTAATACAACTGACAGATTAATGAGTTGCTGGACAGGGAAGATCAAATAAATAATTTATTTACAAATAAATAAAGAATCATATTTATTTTATGCTGTTGTTACGGAAATAATTGAACTAAATTCTATTTGTCGCTTTACGCAATGGCTTTTAGAAATAAATATTGAAAATTTTACAGAGAGAATTCAATTCGAAAAATAATTCTTGTTTAAAGAATAAAAGAGTAGCATTATGTAAAGATGTAATTTACATTTTAATAACAAAGGGAGATAAAGCAATACAAGCAAGTTATGGCATGACTATTGATGATCGACTCTTTCTTCATAATCAATTTAAATAGACATAATCAAGGATGACGATGACGATGATGATGATGATGATGATGATGACGACGATGATGATAGCGACGATGACGATGGAAACAAAACATATTCTGATGTACAGAAACGTTTTGTTTCACATTAATGTATGTTTACATTAATTTTATCTTTATAAGGAGTCAGGATTATAAACTCCATTCAAGGTCAATATTTTGTTTACATATAGGCGATCGGCACGTCGGCAATGCTATCTCTCTTTTGCACAGTCCGTTCTTGGAATGGGGAAAGTATCACAGTATTGGTTTGCGAATATCTTATATACAACGCTAAAATAAACAATAAGTTTTATTCTCGAGATAAAAAAAATGAATTCATTAGCAATGACTTTGAATTATATCGCTGTCTTCACCAATATATATATATATATATATATATATATATATATATATATATATATATATATATATGCCATTATTAAATTTCTGTAAAATAAAAAATTACTAAATCAAAGAAATGAAATAGCTATTTCTTGCAGGCACTGCCAAATACATTTTTAAATATTAATTAATTTTGACAAAAAATAATGAAGAAGAGAGATGAAACATACATATGTATACTTGATTAAGTAATAATTTCTTAAATACGAAATCAACTTCTAATATTTTATTTGTAAAATACCGTATGATCTATTAGTTATTAGAAAGAAGAATGGTACTTTAAATATGTAGGAACAAAATTTAAATATTAAAAATATGACTTACTAATATTTAGAAAATATTTTAGAAAATCTTTGTATACAAAAATATGAATTAAGCAGATAGATAAAAATGCCAAAATTATTTTCTCATTGAAAAACCAGATGACACGTTGAATAACGTATACTAGTGTTTGTGATCAGAAATTCCTACAGCACGTAAACTTAACCTGACTTTGTAAGTAACATATATTTAATAAATAAGTTGTCTAGTGAAATTAAACCTAACCACCTAATCAAAATATATTGAATTTTTCTTAACCTTAACAACTCAAAATATTAAGATTGCCTGTGCTTACAAATTAAGTAATTCCTAGCATCGCTTGACAAGGGAACCAATCTCTGGATTTTAAGTGTAAATTTTAATTAAATTTAACATTTTTGTGTCACGATGAAATTGTATCTTTACAAAAGAGAATAATTGTAATATATATATATATCTCATAAAATATATGTTTTATCTTCATAGATTAAACATGCTTTTGTCGAAAGAATAATTTACTTTTTTCTGGGGTATACTAATGGGGACGATGTACTGAATGAAAAACGCAAATGCAACACACTTGATTGAACGCATAAAAAAGTGAATGTGCTAAAATTGAAGGCAATGTGGAGTTATTGCTTCGAGTTCACCTGAATCTTGCAAACCGCATCAACATTTGCATTACAAATGGTGGAAATCATATTGAAGATGCATACATGTGTATATATATATATATATATATATATATATATATATATATATATATATATATATATATATATATATGTGTGTGTGTGTGTATACATACATATATATATATATATATGCATGTTTCATTAAAAACGACAGACAAAGGTACTACGGTTGAGCTTTTTATTTAATTTTCTTGTGTTCTGACAAGAGCTTTCTTTTCTGGACAAGAGTGTGTAAGAACATTCGGACAGTTCTTACACACTCTTTTGTCCAGAAAAAAAGCTCTTGTCAGAACACAAGAAAAATTAAATAAAAAGCTCAACCATAGTAATTTTGTCTGTCGTTTTTAATGAAAACATGCATAAAGGAATTGCTGAATATACAAATATATATATATATATATATATATATATATATATATATATATATATATATATATATATATATATATATATATATATATATATATATATATATATATATATATATATTTCTTCATCAATCCTATTTATTTCTCCATTTTCCAACATTAACAAAATGATGTATATTCTTGAAACTACGGCAAAATTGATGTTTGTAATGTCTGGTCTAATACTATATTAAAATTTGGTACTCAGACTTGACATTGAAAGTTGGAAATAATAAAGGAACCAATCAGAGTTTATGAGAATTTAATGCAAGTATTACTAACCGAATAAAGAACTTATATATTCTTTCAGATACTTTCAATGTGGCAAGTGATTATAGTTGAAAATAACGTGTCCCCATTACATAATATGGATGCTCAAACCAACATAAAATGATAAGATAAATTCCAATATGACTTGACTTTACATTAGAAACAACTAAAAAATTGATTTCCTTATGGCATGACGGAGAAATCTATACCCTTACTTTGAGACAAAATATATTAGAATTCATTAATACGCCTACGTCCACCAAAGGACTTTTACAGGATGATTATGATGAAATATTTTACTCTGTATATGACTTGCGTATAATACAATGTCACGAGTGTCGTTTACGGAATTCGTTTTACCCAAATTTGCTCTGGAAGAAATCGTCAATCCTGTGAATGGTTGGAAAAATTTTAACAAAATATTTGTATGTGAATATCTTCTCTAATTTAACGCCATTCGTAATATTTATTTAGTTTAATTATGAATCATCCTGGGCATGACGATAAACAACATCCAGCAGCAATGCCTCTAATCGACAATATTTTAGGAGCGTGGAACCACTTCTTAATTGCAGTTGTTCCCATGTCCACCCTGAGTCGGTGTGGTAGCACCTGTTAGGGCCTCAGCTATGGGCAAAATTTTTAACCCTCAGATTGGTATCAAAACACAAAAAAGTATAAAAATAGATATTTGTAGTAGAATTGCTAGTATTGGATTTTTATATTTAAAAAGAAAATTGCAGGAATACATTTTTGTAAGGAAAAAAATATTACCAGCATTACGTTTAAAAAAAAAATAGTACCAGTGATACATTTTTGTAAAAGAAAAATTGCCAGCAATGCATTTTTGTAAAAGAAATTACTAATGCCCCTAAGAAAATTAAATGTTGGCATTAAATGACCCATAAGTATTTGATATGCCGTTAAAGAAACAAACAAAAATTATAAATAGGCGATGACGTTACTGATTACAATAATTCGGAGCCACATTAAGACGGCCATGGGATTTTAATACAAGACGATATAAGAAGTAGCGAGTAAGCAACACGAGTTTCTGTGAAGGGATAGGAAAAATTTCAAAAAACGGTGGCAACTGTTTACAAGTTAATTACAGTAACAAAAGACAGGAAAATGTAAAGGGCTATGACCCTGAATCGCTATGCCACTTAAAAGAAGATTTGCTTTCGTCGACTGTCTACCCGAAATAATTGGAAACGCGACTCAATAGTAATGTACCCCAAAGTAGATTCTCCATAGAATAATCTTGCTATACTCTGTATCAGACGAGCCGTAGTAACTAATGTAGTGGTCTCCATAATTATACCGTTCTTAGTCGGCGACTTTGAAGCACAGCGTAACGTAATTTTCGCTACAGTAAGCGTTGTTTGACACGTTTTGTAACAATGTTAAAATCTAATGCAGTCATTTCCTTGTATTACATGTAAGCGGGTGCATTACTCTTTCACATTAATCTGATGCCTGCCTGATATTAAAATATTTCTTCTACAAAATTTCTACTATTGGCTGAGAACAGACTGTAGAAGATAATTGTTTTTATCTTGGAAATATATTTCCCCATTTTCTTGGTCGGCACCATGATTTCAAGCTCAAACGGTATTAAAGTCAACTTACGAAAAATGGCTGACTCTCCTAGGCTAACACAGCTACACTACAAACTTGCCCAAGATTTCAAACACTTAATCCAGCTGGGTTAATTCCTGTAAGCTGTTGCAAAACAATTACTTTTTTTACCATTAGTTTATAATGGAAGCAGAAAATTGCACCTGTACACTTAATTGTTTATTATCATCATCATTGCTTAGGAATTTAGAATGAATTTTCAGAAATAGTAGATTATCAAATTATTTTTATATCCATATTTTAAAGTTTATTTGTGATTAAAATGTAACTTATATACATTTGAATATATACTTCCATTTTATTAAAATTACTTTATATTCATATCAAGGCTTTCAGAAAAGTGAAAATGTCGTTCGAATTTTTAATTATTCTATCATGTCTTATATTTTTCCTAACTTTTTAATATCACTCTTGAAAGTTACATTTTTTCTGACATTTTTATTTTCACTTAAAATAAATAATTTTGCATTTGGTCTTTTGAATTGGTCTGAATTGAATGAACTTTCTGAGAAGGAATCGGAAAATTTTAGCATATTTTTCTATTATTAACTTGTCGAATATATATACACACCATATATATATGTATATCTGTGTGTGTTCTCTCTCTCTCTCTCTCTCTCTCTCTCTCTCTCTCTATATATATATATATATATATATATATATATATATATATATATATATATACGGTCTATGGTAGATTTAAATTGAAAGTATAAAAAATGACGCGGAATGCTGGATAATCTCTAACAGATGAAAAAGAGACTTGAAGAAAAAAAAGTTGCTCTACAGAAGGATTTTGAGCATACCAGGAACCGAACATGCGAAAAACAACGAAGTAGTAGAGAATATGGAGAAAAATGGACTCTTATAAATAACATCAGAAAGAGACAGTTGAAATTTCTAGGGGAACATAATGAGGAAAGATGGCTTTTAAAATGTGATAGTCATAGAAGAAAACAACGCATAACCTGCCTAGCGAGCTCGTGTAATTGGATGCCGGAAAAAGGGTTTACTTAGAATAAAAAGACAGGAAATTTTGGAGGTCTATACTCACCCACGTCCTCAAGTAACACGACACTTAGAAGAAAAGCATTACTTGTAACTCATCTATTGACTCTAAGATTAGTAAAATGTGGCAAGAATAACGTAGATATTTCAAGTATTCTCAGTTTAGATGACACATTGTCTCCCTGCTTCGCTAGCTCTTTTTACAAAATTATTTTACTTGGTATGATTGTGAACACGAAATGTTTTTCTTATTAAGTAATTTCTAGTCTAGTTTTGTCTGCAATATTCCCATACATGTATTTCTTAATATTTGTTATATCTGTCCAAATATTTTCTTTGCTAGCTTTAATTTGATGGATTCTCCATTAGGCAAAAATAAGATAATATCTTTTGGATCTAATTTGTATTCAAATTTATATAAAAAATAAATGGTGGAAGTCCATTGTATCTGGTTGCGGGGCATTAATTAGACGTTGCAGATCAAATTCAGTAAAGCAAGAACGAATTTATATATGTAGATATTTATATATATAGATGTATACTCATATTCTAGTAAATAATCTGTTTATTTAATAAAACTGTGCTTTTATTTAATTACATTTACCGGCCTGAACTTTCGAGAAAACTTGGTATGCGTCCTCTAGTAGAATATTTTTGAGAAGATTTCTCGAATATTCAGGACGGTAAATGTAATTAAATGTGTTTAATTAAATGAATAGATCCTTTACTCGATTATGAGTATCCATCTAAAATAAAGGCAAATTAAAAAATAATCGTATTTATTCCACTTCATTATATATATATATATATATATATATATATATATATATATATATATATATATATATATATATATTGAGTTCCCCCAACGAGGGCAATAAAACCACTAAGTCACAAGAGGTTACTGGGTATGAAGTTACTAATAAGCGAGAACAAAATCACTAATCAGGAGGAGAGTAGATATCGATTAACATTTCATTTAAATTTTTGCAAAGTTGGCTGGAATCCACGGAGCCAGAAGGAGGACTGCAAGTGAAATGTGCGCCAAAAGAAACTCTTAACATAGAAGATACGGTTACATCTAATCAACTCAACTGTAAATTGGTGAGATCATGACGTCTATCTAGTTCGGCGCTTAAAATACAAAAAAGCCTAGCTAAGAACTCATCCGAACAAGTATTTACAGAATAGACACATACAAACACACACCATATATATATATATATATATATATATATATATATATATATATATATATATGTGTGTGTGTGTGTGTGCTATGGAAATAAAAAGGCAAATCGATTAAAAAAAAATAATGTCAAACCCTAACAGACATTCACTCTGTTTACAGAGGGAAGACTGCCTGGATCTGACATAAATCGTTTCCAATACCTTTAAATTTAACACAAAATGAGCATGACTAAGGATGGAAAATGAGTCAATGCTGAAATCTCTGGATTGTTTATAAGGTTCTCAGCGATGGTGGAGCCGTATGTATTCCCGATCTTGTCACAAGATTGGAACGTACCATTCCTAATTTTTCCGGGTACGTTCTGATTTATCCATGCATTTAAAAGCAAAGTAGTTATACCTATGTTGTTGACTTCGCAACTACAAGTAAATCGGTATATCACATTATTAATATGGTGAGGAGGCAGAACATCCTTTCGAGCAGGCACCTAAATTAGGTCCTGTGGATAGTTTTCATTCAACAGTCACAGTAGAAAACAGAGAAAATTTGTTAAATGGGTAATGGCTTTCCACCTTTATTTCATCACATGCTTATGTTTTATATTGTATTATTTAGTCCTCCCTCGATTTCAGCTCTGTTGAGCGAGGGCGAAACTAGTTGGCAGGTCATTTTTTTATTATGAATGATAAAGCACGTCTTGCCGTTTTATTTTTTCATAATAAAATTCTGTACCCCTAATAATAATAATAATAATAATAATAATAATAATAATATATATATATATATATATATATATATATATATATATATATATATATATGAACAGATTCTTAATGGTACAGAATTTTATAACAGCAAGGAATAATTAAGTTTTTGATGGTATTTTAACTAAAACGACCGGTTTCGACCCAGATCTTATCAAGTTTATTTTCTGGGTAGATCTTAGGGGACTAAAAGAATGAAATGAGGGAATGAGGCATAAAGAAAACACACACACACACACACACACACACACATACACACACACACACACACACACACACACACACACTAGAGTCCAATCACATTCAATCCCAACAAGTAATCTCTCTGTTTGCAGAGAGAAGGCTTACGAGATCTAATGTAAATGGACTCCAATGCTTTAAGATGAAATATTGAGTGCGACCTCGACAGAATGGTAAAACGGTCGACACTCAAACCATACAAACATTCCCTACTGTTTATTGCTTGCCGGGCTATGGAAGACCCGGATGTATTCACTACCACTAGCGGCCGGATCCAAAATTCTGGGGTGGGGGGGTAAATGTTGTTTAATTCTGTAATCCAAACGTTGAGATGTTCTACCTATGTAGTCATATCCATAACTACACAACGAAATTAATATGGTGTGGATGTAAAAACATCTTTACGAATGGATGACAAAATCGGCCGAGTAATTACTCTCGCATTAGAAGCAAAATAGCATTTACCGATGGAACGTGAAATTCGCCTAGCTAAAGTCTCACCTTCCGTCCCAATATAAGGTAGACGTAAATAAAATGGACATTTTTTATACAATGCGTCTTAACCTTATGAAAATTATCAATGACATTACTCATAACGGATTCCAAAATGTCCGAAGGATATCCATTTTTGGAAAGTATCATCTTAATAAATTTCATTTCAACGCTGAGGATATATATATATATATATATATATGTGTGTGTGTGTGTGTGTGTTGCTTGTGTGTTTGTATGTGTGTGTGCTTGTGTGTTTGTATGTGTGTGTGTGCTTGTGTGTTTGTATGTGTGTGTGAGAGTTTAGGCAGAAATCACTCTTTTATACAGGTTTCCTTGAAGATTTATGTCAAGGCTCTGCGGTTAAGCTTTTTATTATATTTTTTTATAATTGATACAAGAGAATTATCTTTGGGACATACAATATGTTAGAAATGACACATGATCTTTTGGTCCCAGCTCTTTCGGCTAAACTATTAGTCATTATCATTGATGTTTTTATTGTTTATCTGTAATGCTTTTACTGTTTGTATAGAAAGTGAAATGTTTAAATTCTAGAATACGTAAGGTTTTGGCCGTGTTCATAATTGATATTAAGAGTGGTTTTCATTTTTTGTATTGTTGAAGATTCCATTATCTTTATGTATTTTGTCATATATGGTTGTATGGAGCCAGAATGAATCAGAAAAGAATCGTCCAAATATACGTATCATTTTTAATTTCTATGCATAATAAATATATTACGCATGGCTTAATTCTGGATCATTTTGAATCCCAGCGCTCCAAATAAATTGCAAAACACAATCTTGTCTACATTGACAACACTCAGATTTTGATAATGAATGAAACGGTCGAAAGTATTTGAACAAAAGAAGAAGAAAACATAAAGTTCGGACATTTGGTCCACAATGTCGATCCGGGTGCACTACAGCTTATTTAAAAACGGGGAAATGCAGTAAAACGTTAAATAGACGCGTCTTATTTGGCGAATTTAAAGCAGTGTTTGATTAATTATTACTGCTTAAATACTACTCATATATATATATATATATATATATATATATATATATATATATATATATATATATATATATATATATAAATTTATCTCATTAAATAATTTAGACAAGTTTTGTCTACTTTTTTTTAATAGGAACTTCTCGTAATTAGGGACAAATTTGGTAGAAACCTTACGAAAGGAAGAATGAATACCATCAGGTTGATTTATATTTAATAAAAGGTACTAAGAAACTTACTTAAACTTATTTCGAGAGGATCCTATTAAAAATAAGTAGACAAACTTGTCTAAATTATTTAATGAAACTTGATTTATGAAAACATGCTGCCAAATTATACACAATATTGAGTATTGCCTTTTTCTTTTTTATTAATCATGTTTCTATTATGTTGCGAATAGAGTTTGGTACGTCTCCATGTGTATTTAAATGAAACCTAGGAATTATTTATTTTTTATTTGCCAAACACGGTCAGCACATTGTGGCCGTGTACATGCCAAGCTCCACCCGGAACATAATGGAAGCATTATTATTAAATATAAAAAAGCCAACACTCAGTAACATCAACTCTGAGCTATAGTATTTATTATTGTATTTAGCAGCGGATGTTAAGCAATTTTCTAAAAGGTAGAGAAGAGGCTTGAGGCGAAGGCGATATGGTTATAGTAATAATAACCTTTTCCCTACAAGTAAAAATTTTCTTTGCTCTACAGAAATATGATGACAAAACCATTAATGGAATATATCTCTACATCCTTCTGTAGAAACACATTTCTCTTGCCTTAAGTTTGTTTTTCATCTTTGATGATCTTCTAGTATTCACTGTCGTATAAGGGGATTAATATTAGTACTCTTTTCTTTGTTTCTAAAGAGATTTTCCTGTTTCTTAATACTTTGATTATCTTTTAGAAGGCATCTTTCAATATCCCAATACGTCTTCGGATTTTGGTAACGCATTTTCCGACCTCTGTTCAAACACTTTCCAGATATTTTTGTATTTGCTTTATTTTCGTATCTCCAATTTGTAATTCGCATGCAGCTGCTGTTTAATCTGTTGGTAGCTAAGTATTATGTTTTCTTGCAGTTTGTTGTCACATAACAAAAAAGTTACTTAATAAGGAATAACCAAAACGGAGGTTGGAAATGAAAATCAGCAAAATACAATACTCGCCAGCGGCGTGAAGTAGGTAAACCACTGCTAGTGGGGAACTACTTAGAAAGCATATTACCTCCACTTACAATAGTGTCAAACGTATTTCTGAGGATTGGTACAGTATATAATACAGTTGGTGTTTAATTCTTTCTTACCGCTTTCCTTTACTACTTTCTGTAGGAGTTTATGTAATCTTTCTGTATCTGCCATTAACATCGTGCCATCTGCATATTGTTAATACTGAAACCGCCAATAATGAATTTAGGACTCTTAATTCTCTCAGAATTTCTTCGCTCTAAAGGTTGAATAAGTCTGCGGAGAAAGCATATTCTTGTTTTACATTATTACAGAAATTTTACTATCTGACTAGTATAGTAAAATGTGCAAATATAGGGAAAAAAAAGAGAGCTGCACGACTGTGTATTATGAATTCTTGTGTTAGGTGATGAATAATGTAAAATATCTTTCGACATGAAAAGAGACTAGAAGCAACATATTAGATTTGACCGGGGAATGAAAAGAATACTATGGACAGAATTTATGAGCAATAAGGAAGTTTTAAGTAAAATAAGACTTGCAAGGAAAATTACTAACCCTGACCTAAAAAAAAAGAACGGAAGATGTGGTCAACCAAGATCCCTATCATAAATGAAATAACATGGTACATTAAAGAAAAAAAAATAAAATTACATCTCCCAATTACTGTTTTTCTTTAATTTATGAGTAATAAAATAAAT